ATCTATTTTAAGCTTACAAACAAATACATTTTAGTTTTTAATATAGTACAGAAAAAAGTAATCTAAATTTACGAATGCATGTACTGTAAATACAGTATATACTTGTAAATGTATATATTTTAATATGATTTTATGTACTTTAAACGCTTTTCTAGTGATATTATGACTAAATATTTGTGGCGGACAGATGTAAAGTCGAATAAAATGACTTAAACTTGATTTTTATTTTTCCACATACTTTTTTGACAAATGACGTATAATCGGGAATGACGTAACTTAAAACGATGTAAGTCGAGGTATATCTGTATTTGGTTTCTTTTATGCAGTACATTACAAAATGAATACAAGAAGTTAATTTTATTTTCAAATTAATTAAAATTTATATACAGTAATGTCACACAATTTTTGAGTATCAAAATAATGGTTTAGGTTCATGTAATCCAGCTAGTTCTGAATTAATTTTTGGACTGTGCTTGATTCTTGGTGGTAAAATTTTCTGAACAACTTTGTTACCAAATAAATAATGAGTCAGTCTGAGAACTATTGTGTAGTTTTCTCCAGCTCGAACTTGTGTTAAGAGCATCACAACTTGTCTATAAATTTAAAAAGGCAGAAATTATTAATGAATTATTTACAGTTTTCTTTTATAGTAAAAACATTTGTATATTTTCATTTGTGTTTCTAGAAAATCTGTATTCAAAAATTCTTCCAAACATTACTATTTGAGGATGATAAATTTTTAAAATTTTTATACTAAATATAGAATGTATATTCAAAGTAATCAATATAATAATTATCTGAAACAATCTCAATATTTTATTTTTAGTAACATTAAATATGACACAAAAAAATACTAGTCTGAGAAAATTATTTTATATTTATTTTCAATTAAATCAAAAGATGATTTTATTTACCTAACAATACATATTTAGTGACAGTTACCAAGACCATAAAATTTTATAATTAAAATCTATTGTAATAAGGAAGTAAAATTCACAAATTCTTAAAATAGGTTATGTAAAGTGTTGCTATAATGACAGTTTTCCTTTAACCTTTTGGAGGGCACACCCACAACAAATTGCTGCATAATGTTGATGTCTTGTTTAAGATGTACAAGGTGATGCAGAAATGCAGCTCAGTATTCCCTATTCATAGCATATGCCACTATCTATATGTCAACCTATTTTCCTATTTCTAACCATTTATTTATTTGAGCTTTAAATTAGGTGTTATATCTGCAGTTACTTGTCACTATACCTATTGCAATGTAAGTATAATTTGCAATTGATTTTATTTTTTTAATGTATTTGAAAGAGTAGCTTACTTTTTACATATCTATTGCATAAATATGCAATAGATTATGTAATGTTGCATAATCTATTACATAAATATGCAATAGATTATGCAACATATAAAGATAAAATATCTTTATATGTTGTAGGTTTCAATAAATTCTTAGACTTGGTATTAGTTGAAAGCTGTTTGGTATATTTTTAAAAATGCCTTTAAAGAGTAATTGGATGTGCTTTAGAACAAGTGAGGAAATTGATAGAAAAGATTGATTATGACATTGAAATCCAGAAGATTCAAAAGAGCAGGAAATTATAGAAGATAATCATGACAGTGACTCCAAACAATCAGCTGAAGAAATAGATGACTGTTTTTTAGAAGATAAGAATAGTAGAACAAAATAGATCTGTCAAGAATGTGGAAGGCTTGGAAATTTCCAAGCCTTTCTCACTCAAGGAAAAATGAGTTATGGTGCATTGGGTATAAGTTTATGAAACTAAGGGGGCAATGGCTCAAAAAAGTTTGGGAATCACTATTCTAGATGCTTTATAACTACATTTATTGAATAAAAAGTTCTAACATTAATTTCCTCTTTGTTCATATTTTAAAAAATATAAAAAAATTAAATATAATATTGCTTCATATCCTCCAAAATGTTCAGTATAATAGTTACACCCTCTCATGAAACTAATAGGCACAGGCACACCCAGCAACGAATAAAAATAGATATTGGATTATGTTAAATCTTTAACTGATTTTAACATAAACTATTAATTAATACACCTTTAACAGTGAGTAAAGTTTGAAGAAAAATAACTTGTGCCTTTCTCATTCTTATTAAAAATATTTTATCGTCAACTGAAAAAGTTTTTTCTTTTTTATTTTAAAACAGTTTGATTAAAACTAACACATCTTTGAGAATGCTCCTCTACTAGTCCAAGTACCATCACCTCTTTCTCAGCAAATGTAACTAATTATAACAACACACCTGATTTTTTTTTGCCAAGCATAAATTACTTTATTCTCAAACATTTTCAACCTACTTATTATAGGCCATCTTCAGGCTTACGATACGAATCATAAGCCTGAAGATTAACGGGGGAGTTTACTGTAATTTGTCAGATTAAAGATGGAAAATCTCAATCTTTTGTGTTTAATCTAAAGCTCTGTTTTCTTTTATGATCCAAGGCTTTGCTTTGCACAACAAATTTGAACACACACGCACACACACACATATATATATATATATATATATATATATTATTGAATCTTTCTTCACTCTTCACTTCAGGAAAAGAATAAAGAAAGATTCAATAAAAGAATATTGTTGGCGCCTTGAGCGCCACTGTATATTTGTAGTAAAAAAAAATAATAATTTTTAAATTTGGAGATGAGAGTAACAGTCATTTCTGTACCAGTGTCTCATTCCACATTAAACCTTTTTTTTGCAAAACTGCAAGTACATTCATATTTTTACAGTGCATTAAAGATTGACAGATAAATATCAATAAATAAATTCAACATCAAAAGGCTTATTTTGGCTTAATGTGATGTCACAAAAGTTTTTTTTTTGGTTTCCTACACAATATGAATATAGTGTGAATAATATATTTAAGATATGTGAGTATTTTGTAGGAGCACCTTTTAATTCTGTAATAGCCTGCAGACTCTTAGGCATTGAAGAAACAATGTTTTTTTTTGGTAATTTCATTTCAGATCTTTCAAAGAATTTTTGTTGTATTGAATTTCCTGAATGTCTCTCTATTTCATCCCATGTACAGCCTGAACATGGGTGTAAGACAAAAGATTTAAATGCCTTTGATTGAAGTATGATCTTAGGCTGAATGAGTTTGTTTCAGTATTTTGGAAACTGCTAACATCCTCTGCTTTTCTCATGTATCTCAGGTGTTCAGAGAATGACAATTGGACCAAAAAATATCAAGCATTAAACACAACTCTGAATGGAAAAGGCTTGTGGATCAAAGAGGTAACAGGCAACTGGCATAAATCATTTGCAGCAACAGAAGGGTGACAACACAACAGATTGCAGCTCAATACAATGCAGGTGCATTTTTTTCTCATTACTGTTTCAGAAAAATATTTTGTAAACAGTTATTTCTAGTAAAGAAAAGTCTTTTTTTGTTGTTACATAATTCATTTTTTTATATGAATTTTTTTTCGCAGTAGTTTTAGGCTCGTTTTTGGCGATACCCCCAAAAGAGTTTGACGACTATAATTGTCGCTCACTGCTTAATGCCACAGCCTACCTCAATATTGTTGCCAACCAGTGCACCCATTTACAGCTACAGTGTTCCCTAACAAAGATCAGGGAACACTGTAGCAGGGCCCTTTCAACTGGACACTGCACTCTGTCACAATATTCAGTTGGTCTCATATTGGTTCAATGAACATGATTCTGAGTTCCAGTTGCTTCATTGGCTGGCTCAGTCACCTGATCTCAACCCCATCAACCATTTGTGGGACGAGGTGGAAAGATTCATTTGAAGATACACTAAAGTATACTCAACAACATATAGCCACATGTTGGTTGTAATGTGTTGAAAAATGCCCACATGAACTGTGGCCATGTTTGAACATTTATTTTATGGTCAGGATATTGTGATACCTGTAAGCTCATGCTTATTTAACAGCTCAAATATTCCTCTCTTAAATGCTATTTTCTTTGTAATGCTATGCTAATGATATTATGATTAATTATTTTTTGAAAAATATTGTTTCTTACATACAATAAAAGTAAACTTATCAAACTTAGTAAATCTACAATATCCAATGCCCATGTGTGCATTTGATTGATGGATCCCACCACAAAAATATAGATAGCATTATTGCCAACAATGAATAGTAGGCTGTCAATTACATTCATAGTCATAATGTTTGTTATAGTAACCCTGTTACAACCATGCCCAGCTCCTATAAAAATACTATAAGTATCTTCCATATATATATAAAAAATAGATGACATTTATGGATTTAAATATTTTGTCTGTCAATAATAGACAATACATTGTCGTGCCGGCTCCAGGGGAGACTAGCACCATGGTGCGGAGAGTGGCGAAATGAAAAAGAATGATTCAGAAGAAAAAGAACAATTCAAAAAAAGAATGTTGGAGATGTTTCTCTTTTAACAAGAGAGAGAGTTTTTGTTGTTAGTGTATCTAAAAAGTGTCAGTTTCGGTAAACTGTATTCTGAATGTATATCCCGAGCCCCACAGCTCATAACAAATTGGTATCAGGAGTGTGATATGAATCATGCCGGTTATGCCGAAAGAAGACATTGAAGGGATTCGTACATGAAGCCAACAGCGACAGCAGGTGGTGATCAATCCCATCGTGTTAGGGAGGTTGTAACGACAGGTTACTTGCTCTACAGTGTTACTACTGTAGAGCAAGGGGCCACCTGCAGATGAATTGCCCAAAGCGAGGGCACCTTGGGAGAGACCGAAAGGTGGATGGATTTCAGAAGGTAGAGGCGGCTGATACCACCACACAGCTGCAGTGGCAACAGGGAAATGAGTAAACACCAGGACTGCGGGGCAGGTGCTGGCTGGTTCTGAGGGAGCCCCAGGAATCTTGATCTCCCAAGCCATGATGGGAATAGCCTGATTATCCAAGGTGAAATTAATGGAACACCATGTAAGCTGACATTGGACATCAGAGCTTCTTGCACAGTCATCAGTTGGCAAATCAGTGGGGACTACTTCAGTGGACATGATCGTATTCGTCTTATAACAGCAACTGGTCAGCACATATCCATCTGAGGTGAGAAGGAGGTGGAATTGCAACTAGGCAACAAGATTTATTGGCATAATGTTATCATTGCCGATATAAGGGATGATTGCATTCTGGGCTTGGATTTCATGAGAGAACATCATTGTGAGATTGATGTCAAGCAGGGAGTCTTAAAATGTGGTTTGGCAGAACTCTTTATGGAAGGTGCATCATTGGGTGAAGCACACTGCTTGAATAAAATTGTTCTTCCCCCAAGGTCAGAAACTATTGTACCAGTTAGACTACCAGATAACGCTGGCCAGAAGAATCGTTGTGTCCTCACAGAGGGTTTAGACAGTGGCCTACCATGGAAGATCGTGCGAACGTTGGTGAGGGCCACAAACATTTCGGCAGTACATGTTCTAAATCCGGATGATAGAGAACAGGTTGTTGGAAAAGGCATTTTAATGGGCACCTGTGAAGAAGTTGCTTGGATGCGTAAATGCCAAGAACAATCTACTGCGACCAACATGAAACATTCCGTATTCAATGTGTTGACGCTTCTGGAGGAATG